TGTCGCAGGCTGTCCGTTACTCGACGTATCGGTTTGGCCTGTATCTCGGGCCGTATCCCTTTCTCGACCACGGAGGATTCGTGTGTTTCTTTGCTCTCCGAGCTTTCTCGGCAGCCTGGTATTTCTGTGCCAATTTAAAAGCTATTTCTTGCTGGTGGTTCACCTCTCGTCGCCACGCCAGTGCGTCCGATAGCCGACCGAATCCTCGTTTGATCTTCAGGCTTGATCATGTCGCGCACCTTGTTCGGGACGTGAGCCAAACGGTCGACATCACTGCAATACGCAGTTCATTAAGTTCGAGCTGAAAATTCCCGTTCGACCGCCTCGACTTGTTGCTCCATGGTAAATCTCCCACCCGAAGAATTGCGTGTGGAGCGGTGCGCCAAGTATAAGTGGCACGCCTTGGAGGGATAGAGCCAAAAGCCTGATGGTCCCCGGAACGCCTTTATTGAATATGCGCTCCAGTCGCTTCTCGAAACCTCGACCGACAGGTTCGTGTCGGGAGGAACGGTCTGAGTGGACTGTCAACAAGCTCACCTAGATTTCGACCTCCTTATCGTCAGCATCTTCAGCTTTCTCCGCCTGAGTTTACATGACGAATCCGTGTAACACGTCCCAGAATGTGCGGGAATTGTCCTTCATATACTTGATGTGACGACCCAATGCTTTTTCCGCAACCGGAGAGAAATCCTTGCGCAAATGGAAGTAGAAGTATTTAGGTCGGTTGGCAAACATTACGTACCATGGCTTCTTTGCCAGCAAGTCCATATATTGCCGATATCATCGGAGTTCAGACTTGCTTGAGGAACCCAAGCTCATTCATCTGGGGAGCGTAGTCAGGAAAAGCGGGTGTTTGCAGATTGGAGCCGTCCTTATTCGAAAAAAACCGGGTGAGAATTCCCCGCCGGCGCCAAGACACGATGCCGCGATCGGCAACCTTGATCTCACTTATCCGCGTCCGTCAAGTCCTCACTGCGGAGCATGGCCAACCGAAATTTGATCCACTCAGTCTTCTCGCGTGGGCGAGGCCGTTCGGGAGAAGGGGTGTACGTCCCAGAAATGTGCTCCCACTCCGATCCAGAAGATCCTCCGCAAGAACGCCGTTTGGGCTTGGCCGAGACCCTCCGTTTGGGCTTCTTACCGTAGTTACCATCACCCGACGACGAGATGGGAGATAGAGAGCCATGCTTGGACGGAGTATTCTGCTTGGGCTTCTCCTCCTCACCGCTCTCATCGGACGAAGAAAAGAGGTCAGGATACTTGGCTTTCTAGCTCTCTCGTCGGGGAAAGACGCTGTCGTCTTCACCTGAGCGGGAACCCTCCTTGTCGTCATCCGCGGCCAACTCGGACGCATCCTCCTGAGAGTTGTAGTCTTCGTCCTTCGGGTCGTCCACCTCTTCGGAGTCAGCAACGTTTATACCCTGGTGAGCCGTGAACGAGTCATTGCGTACGTTACGCAGCATCGGCCACTCGGGTGGTAGATTCCGGCGATGCGTCCGGAGCGTGACTTCAGCGGTCTTGTAGTACCGATCGGGAACATGTTGCGTCCAGGGAGTGTTTTCCAGGCACCGATGGCACATCATCTGCATCGGCATCTCGTGCAACTTGTTTTCCGGGAACTCATGATGTGCGACAGCATTGTCCCCCATCATCTGCACCGCCAGGCTGAATCCAAATCCAGCCTGCATAGTTAGTAGAGTGTCCTGGCGAAGGTCACTCAAGGTCAGGAAGTCTGGAAACCGCGACTAGACTTGCTCGATCGACCATTTCTGGTCGGAAAAGACGCGCAACGCCCGCTTTACAGGCCCCAAATAGACCAAAGGACGAGACTGGACTTTGACTGTCCCGTGGAGAGTCTCCGGCTCGATCACCTGCATCTCCTTGGTGATGCGATGAGATGGCTTGGTCGGACGACCGCTGACCGACTTGGCCGATGGAGACTTATTCTTAGGAGTGGTGGTCTGGTCGGAAAACTTCGACCGAGCAACCGGAACCGGAGGCTTATCCTCAGACTTGCCTTCCTGTTTGGCGTTGGTACCATCATCATCGGAGAAGGCGACCTCGTCCTCTGTGGCACTTTCCTCACTGTCTTCCTGCATTGGGCACGGGAAGGGAGGCGCCATGATGTATGGTTTGTCGGCGGCTTCTACAAATAACCAAGTGGTCCATTCCTTGGGAGCCTTGGTTCCCTTCTCGAAATGACGTAGTATGTGGCGTTAGCGAAACCACCGACCTCTGATGCTGCCACCTCCTTCATGCAGGAACTGCATGAGCTTGTCGGCACTAAAGTCCTTGTTGCGCTTGGATCCCTCCAGCCGAGCGATAGCCTGGCGAGCGGACTCCAGACGGGATTCCGAATCCCGGCCGAACCTTGTGTCTGAGTGTTCGACCGGTGCCGTGATAGCAAGCGATGCAGCAGAGACATCGAGTAAAACAGACGCTCTGCGAGGCGCTCACCTGCGAACTGCATCAGGATCGACGCCATCTCGCGACGAGTCGTCAGCAAATTAAGGCAGGCCTCAAACAAGTCTAGCAACAGACCTTCATGATCTGTGCGAGGCTGAAGTACCATTCGCGCACTTCCCGTTGGGAACCCACGAGCTTTGCCAAGTCGTTGAAGTCCCGGTCAGAGAGTCCATCGAAGACCATCAGGTTCTCCACACACCCATATCCCGCTTGGACATGAGTCTCCGCGCGGTAAGCAAGGCAATGACCAGGAACACCAACGACGAAAGAGTTCGATTGGAGACCCCGCTTGGGCGGAATCACTGCATGCGTGGGGAGGATGTTCGTGCAGCCAAGAGGACTGGTACGCGAAGCCGGAAGCACACCAGACTTCATGTGTCGGATGGTGCCACTTAGGTCGAGCATATGGGAGACCGGTGAAGGCGCTGTAGACGTTGCTGGATCCGTCGAGGCTGAGGCCGAGGCGTCAGCAGAAGGTGCTGAACGAAGCACCAAAGTAAGAGACGACGGGTCGCTCTGCTGACCGACAGACCTGCGGACGGGAGTCCCCACGACATTCGTCGGTTGCTCAACGCCCTCCGCAGCGTCCATAACCATGGGCTCGCGTGCAGGAGGGTTACCAGCATTAAGCCCTTCTGTAGCTGTCGAGGACGTGGTCGTTGAAGCAGGAGTGCCCCCGCGATTGCCCGCGCCCGCCCCGGTGTCCCTCTTAGGAATGTCCCCGTACGGAAGTTGCGCTGGGATAGACGTAGTTGCGGCAGGCGCTCTCGCTGGCGCAGAAGTCGGGTCACCACTGCCGGGTGATTCGCAGAGGAAGGCATTATTCAGAAGTGAGCAGGTTGGCGCGGGTTCCGTCGTGAAACGGTTTTGGCCGATCTTGCCGAGGAAGATGACTTTGAAATTTTTGAAATCAATTGACTTGGCGCTGAAATGGAGTGACTAGGTTGCGACAGGGCACAAAGAAGTGACGCAGGAGTGGGCAGGGACCCAACGGGGCTTTCGCCCGGACTAACTTTCCGTTCGGACTTACGCTGTGAGTGTGAGTAGGTTCTGCTCATGGTTGATCAACTCGACGAATGGCTCGGTGAAGAGCCAAGACCAGCGGGGCGATTGATAGATGTGGGTCCCTTCCCGAATGGCATATGATTAGCCAAATGGAAGTGCCAGTTCGTGTGACAAGTGAATCAGTGGATACAGGGTTTGGTGTGTGAAGAAGATATGGGACGCTCTGCATTGGCTTAGTTACCAGTTCTCACAAAAGACGCCGGATGGGAATTTCCAGACGGTATCAAGTTCCAGACGGAAGGAAATGTTCACAAGACGCAAAGTGCTCCCCGCCACGAGAGCGAGCGGAGTTGCCTCTTGTGGCATAAGCAAGAGTGCCATATACATACACCATACAACAAACGACAAACTATACAAGACCCAAGATGATATCCACTACGACACCGGAAGTTCGACGGCACCAGAAGTGTGAGTCGCTCACTTGGCCAGGCCCGGATGGGGTTTCTCTACGTGGTAGTCCGGATGGACCTTTCACGTTGAAGATCAGACTACAGTAAAGTCAAGCTATTTCCGACCGGCCAAGACGACCGACCAAGATCTGCTTTTGGTGCAACGACCATTCCGAGAACTGACGAAGAACACAGAAGAACCCTGATAAAGGTAGGCTATTAGCCAACCGGAATCGAGCATTTAAAAAGATGAAGTGGCCAAGGTATACACACAAGTGATGGTCAAAGTACCTCTCACACAAACAAGCGAAGTCGAGTATGATGAACACAAGATACGCATGCAAGAATCAAATACAAAAGTGAATGAGTGACCTTACGGTCAAATTTATTAGGTATAGATAACAGACAAACAGAGTTCACTTTATCCTCTAACCCGCAGATTGTTCGCGCTGGACAAGCCTCCCTGGTGTGCATTTCAGGAGGCCCCGTGACAACATCGTGGCAGGGCTCGTGTGATAGCCGATCACACGAGAAGCTTCTCCGTAAGTATCAAGGCCACATTGGGTTGGGGACCGGGTGTGACTAGCCGCTCGGAGTGAACGCCCATTCCATGTCCTAGTTAGGGCTGTCTCTCCGAACGGGTCCCCGATTTCATATTCCGATCACCTTGTGCGTTGGTGTGTCAGTCGCAACGTATAAGTCTGGCCGAAGATCTGCGAGTGAGATGTGTATTGACGTGTAGTGTTTCTCTCCATCCAAAGAGTGGTGCGCGAAAGACCAGCCTGAGTTGACCAGTGCTCTGGTAGTTTGGTCTAGTTGAACTGAACGAGTGACCGAGCTTTCCACGGTCTAGAAGGAAAGGAAGACCTACCTATTTGTGCGTATAACGCATTGTCTGTATATTTGTATTTGGTTATCGGTGCTATTGGTGGTGACGTCTAAGGAAGTTACGTTCTGCCCCGTACACTAACACCTTCATCCACATCAACAACTCATTACGGTGTATCTCCCTGGTTTCGGGTCTTACGGGTTTGAACCTATAGCGATTGATTACAAGGAACACACGCCAGCCCAGTTGGATTACTCCACCTGGGTCTGTTCTAGATTAGGAAGTCCAGTCGGAACTTCGGATCTAGCGCGCAAGCTATACACCAACACGAAAAGCGTTCTCCCGCATCGTGTCACAAAGATCAGCTTTTCGGCGATCTCGTCCCAATACTGTTGTATTAAATCTTCCCCATACACGCGTACTGATTGCATGACGGTCTTGACCGAGCGCTCTTGTTGGCTGTTAACTTGAGGGCGATAGCTCACCGTCGCCCTAGACCTAGATTGTATCATTTCGGTGAACGATTGGAACACCGCGTTAATGACTCGTGGGTCTCTGTCATGTCTGATGAGAGAATAGGCACCGAATATTCGGTACACACATTCCTAAAAAGCTTGGGCTACTCTCAGAGCAGTCGTGTCTGCCATAGCCTTGCCTATCACGAATTCGGTGAATGCGCATTGAAACAATAATAGCGCTGTGTTGCCCCGCCGAGGCTTCGGTAAGGGAATCACAAAATCAATTTTAACGACTTGAAACGGTAATTTAGCCAATATGTTCCCCGGGGAGGATCCGCGGATCTTTGGTCGACTTTTACTTGAACTACAGTCGGGACAGGACCGAACGTGTCTCGCCACGTCTGCGTATAGACCGATCCAATACAAGCCCAATTTCACTCTGTAGAACGTTCAAGCGATACCTTGGTGGCCTCCTTCTAACGAGTCGTTACAGTTCAGTAGTGCCTCCTGAACCATCGTTGAGAGTACTAGTAGACGCAGCATCGCGTCCTCTTCCTGTTGGGCACCTCTCAGATGTCTCGTTCCCACATAGTAGAACACGTTGCCCTCACTTAAGACGAAGTGGTTGGACATTTTCCACGTGTCTCTCGCTGCACAGTATCCAGGGTTGATTCTTCCCGAGGAGAACTGAAGCGAGGCGGGTGAACGCCTGAACCGCTCAAGTGTATAGTACGATGCCCAGGGGGGTAAACAACCAAAAGGTGTTTTGGGGGTCAGAACTCTCCAACGGGGTGATTCAGATAGACAACTGAACACACTATTGGGGAGCTGGCGTGTGACCTTGTGGAATCCCTATAGGTACGTTTGACTTTGACACTAAGTGATCCACCGAGTTGATAAAAGCTGACTTTTGGATAACCAAAAGTAACAGGGAGCTGGCACTGACGTTACTTCTAAACGACGGGTGACGCGTTGTGATTGGAGGAAAATTCTCAGCCACTCATTTCGACTA